CCAATTTGTGTTGCCTCCCCGCAACTCACTCCCCTTAAACACTTGTCATAGTCCCACCACTGAACTATATTTCTAAGCATGCCCCACCCTCCCAGCCTTGTCTGATTCCCAGCACCTTCAAGAAATTCATCAACAGGCATCAGTATGCCCAGCGTGCTGCGTTGTTATTTCTTAGACTTTTTTCCTTAAAAAAAAAAAAGTGGATCTGAGATGATCTTGAAAAATGGGAGAACAGGCGAGAAATGCTGCCACAGGCCAATACAGTAGCAGCTGTTAATTTTATTTAAAAAGCCATTTGTTTGAAATGTTTCAGCTTGGATTCAGTTTCTGGGGGCAGACAGGCAGAAGGACACATTCGCCGAGCAAGCATCTGCCAGCACAACCAGTGCCGTCTCATGCATTCTGAGCAGGCAGGAGAGGGATGAGCTCACATGGAATTGAAATTAACTTATTAGACATCCCTCGCTTTCCCAGTGTGATTCCCCAGCATATGATTGTGAAGGCAGGAAGACTCTTCCCAGGGCCAGCTCTTCCAAGAAGCAAAACAGGCCAGCATCTTCAATTGGGAGGGGGGGAGAGGAAATGGTTGAGCTATTTAATTAATCGGAGTGCATTGTTAAACTATGGAATTCTCTCGCACGGGAAGCAGTGAGGGCCACCAACTTGAATGGCTTTAAGAGAGAATCAGACAAATATTTAGAGGATAAAGGCTTTCACCCTGATGACTATACATTTAAAGCAGTATCATACCACTAAAAAATTGTGGGAATTCTAGCTTGCTCTGAAAGTTGTTAGGTAGGAAACTCTCATATTCCCCTCACAGGAGTACAGTTCCCAGAGTTCCCTAGGGGAAAGGATTAACTATTAAACCATTCTGAGAATTATAGCTCTGTGAGGGGAATAGGGGTCTCCTAACTCTCAGCACCCATAACAAACTGCAGTTCCCATGTTTCTTTGCAGCAAGCTATGAATGTTTAAAGTGGTACAGGTAAAGGGACCCCTGACCATTAGGTCCAGTCGTGACCGACTCTGGGGTTGACCGACTCTGGGGTTGCGGTGCTCATCTCGCTTTATTGGCCGAGGGAGCCGGCGTACAGCTTCTGGGTCTTGTGGCCAGCATGACTAAGCCGCTTCTGGCGAACCAGAGCAGCGCACGGAAATGCCATTTACCTTCCCACCGGAGCGGTCCCTATTTATCTACTTACACTTTGAGGTGCTTTGGAACTGCTAGGTTGGCAGGAGCAGGGACTGAGCAACGGGAGCTCACCCCGTCGCAGGGATTCGAACTGCCGACCTTCTGATCAGCAAGTCCTAGGCTCTGTGGTTTAACCCACAGCGCCACCCGCCTCCATTGTTACCTCTGAATACCAGTTGCTGGAAACAACAGGAGGGGCAAGTGATGTCCTATGTCCCTATGCAGTGGTACCTCAGGATAAGAACTTAATCCGGAGGTCCGTTCTTAACCTGAAACTGTTCTTTACCTGAAGCACCACTTTAGCTAATGGGGCCTCCCGCCGCCGCCCCGCAATTTCTGTCCTCATCCTGAAGCAAAGTTCTTAACCCGAGGTACTATTTCTGGGTTAGCAGAGTCTGTAACTTGAAGCGTCTGTAACCCGAGGTGCCACTGTATCACAATCGTCCAACAAGCAATGGGGAGTGCGGTCAGCGGCACTGCAACTATCATGCACGTTTTCAAAACAAGAGGCGAAAGGGTTGAGTGAACCCCCACTTAGGCAACAATAGAAAAGAGTTGGTATCTGACTATTTTAAACTGCAAACTGCCTTTTGCACTTCGGCAGGATGTAAATGTAACTAAGCAAGAAAGCAAATAAAAGTTGCACAATCCCCCAGTTCTCTCTTGCTTATGCACTCTGTGCTAAACAGCCTGAGGAGTTGAAAAGGGGTGACTAGAGAAGCAAAGCATCACTCTCTGCACAAGTCATTTCCTGCCTTAGTTTTATTGATTCACCAGTATCCTCCCTCCAGCAGAGTCTCCATTTATTTGTATCTGGGAAATATAAAGGCTGGTGGGAGAGAAGCTCGTCCCCCAATCATCATTGTAATGTTAAAAAAACTCCACCCACCATTGGCTCCAGCTCCAACCGCCATGTGACCACAGCACCCAATAGACTTTTCCCACTGGGGATGCACTCAAAGGGACAAATGTAGCTTATGTGGCTTCACACATAAGATTTAAAGGAGCTCTTGCTTTAATTGGCTTCATAATGTGGATGTGAGACCAATGCTGGCCTGAATATTCACTTGCATGACAAATACTTCTCATCCAGTGCTCAGCATGAACTAGTTCAGTTGAACAAAGTTCACTGAGCCAATGAAAAAGATCTCTGAGCCACACCCGAAAGTCATTTTGATAATTGCTGTGTGAATTAAGTTCATTGGCGGGGGTAGAACTTTGAACGATTTCTAGTTCACATTTATTTATTTTTCCCCTGCCCTGCCTGCCCCCCAGCAGGAGGCCTGGGCCCTTAGAATAACTTTTTCAAAAATATTGGAAGCTATCAGACATATAAAGAAAGTTAGAAAGCAAACTGTGGAGGCACCATTTTAGGGCTTATTGGGCAGATAGAGAGGTGCCATTGGTCCTAAAGACACTTGAGTCAATCACTGTTGCTAAGCAATAAGAAGGAAGGAATGTGAGGCCTTTTCTGTATCTTTTCTACTGAGGAGATTTGTTTTCTTCCAATGGAAGCAGTCTGTAGTAAGAAGTACAAAGTGAGAGATGCCTTGTCCTTTTAACAATGGTGCAGCTGGGACAAATTAAACAGGGTAAGTCTTTTCTAGTATGGAAATACAATGATGGGGAAAACTTCACTTGTTGACATTCTGTTTGTCTGTCAGAAATCTTATTACTTCTGTGTGGCCCTGGATTTACTTTTCAGCCCTGTACTTCACCACAGTAGCTTATAATTTGATGAACTCAAACTGAACTAATTCATTTTGTAACGGGGCAAAACTGAACAGGAACTAGTTCCTTTTAAAAATGAACTTTCCAAGCTCTTCTCTCCTTTGCTTTCTCTCTCTTTCTTTTAAAGGTTTGTTTATTGTTTCGAAAAGGATATAATCAAAAAGAAAAACTTCGCCCCACTCCTCTTTGCTTTCATATGAATAGCAATCTGACATTTAACATAAATAGCAAGAGATGTTCAAATGTGATCTTTTTAGAATCTAACCTGTGAAAGTGGCTGGTGCTGAGAGCAGCATGTTTTCTGGGAGATTTTCTAGCAATTTTGATGAAAGTAATGTGGATTACGGACATCAGAGCAGTCTGTAGGTTTGGGACACTGTTCTGTTTTGATGGAGTTGCCAATTTCACTCCAAATCCTGCTTTTCTTGATTTTTGATAACCTCGTTTCATAAAATGTACAGAAACCACCATCAGAAAAAGGGGATAACACTAGTCATGTTAAATGACATTGCTGAACAATCCTAGTAATCCAGCATCCCTGATTTCATAGAAATCACACTTGGCAGCATTTTGCAACGTGGTGGGTTTTTTTTAGTTATTTTGTGGGCTGTGTTTTGAGTTTGGTTTCTTTGTTTAAGGGGTCTATTAGTAATTCAGCAATCTTGTCATCAGTTCTGTTGGCTGAGCTCCCTAGAAGCTCTGCTCATATATGGCAACTAGTCAGAACAGGCAATCTTTATGCATACTTCCTTTACTTGTACTGTAAATAAATCACACTGGGCTCTCTGGACCAACTTCCTGCCAAATAACCATGCACAGAAGTGATCAACACAGCCGTACCCGTAACACAGAGTTGTACATGCTTAATCCCATTGAAATCTATGGATCTAATACTTTACTGGACCATAGGGTAACACGGCAATCATATTCTCAGGTGTACTGTAAAAGATTCCATTGAACTCAATGAGACTTGGTTTGAAAAAAGCCCCATAGTTAGGATCAAACTGTGTATTTGGATAAAGCTGCCCCCCCAAAAAAGCCATGCTTTCACAAATGGGGATAAAATTGCCTAAGGAAAAATAGGAAATTTGAAAGGAAAGTAAGAGAAGATAAGCATGATTATAATAATGCAGCAATTCAACACATGCTGAATGTCAGGCAAGGTCAAACGCCTGACTGTTCAGAGGAGGAACATAAGTGCGAACAGTGGGACATCATTGTTTCTGCAGTCCGCATATTGCTGCTCTGTTTAGAGTAAGTGTTTGAAATAAGTGCATAGCTCATTTCTGAACTGCACTTTCTTTTAGCAGAAATTGGAGGTGCATAACTACTTTTTTTCCTTCTTTCATTATCTTAAGTCATCCTGCTTCCCATCATTTAGAGACTGCCATCAATGAACACAATGCTTTCAAGAATAACGTCAGCAAATAGGACAAGTCCCTGCCCTGAGGCGCTTACAACTATGCCCATTACAAAAAAGGGACAGGAGGGAAAGGGTGAAAAAGGAGGAGCAAGAGGAATAAGGGGGTCAAAAATTAGTTTGGTTTCAGCAGACGATAAGGATTGGGGAGAAATCTGTTAACATTTAAATGTGAACCTTTGCTAATATTCATTTCCCAACCAATAAGTCACCTGAAGCAGTTATCCTTTCAGTTTTGCACTGCTCCAAATTTTGTGGTGCACTGTGTGTGTGTGTGTGTGTGTGTGTGTGTGTGTAAAGTGCATGCACACGCACACAAATGTGTGCCTTAGTGAAAGTAACATGTCTAGGGAAATTGCTTGCAAAAACAAGCAAACATTGCGTGTATACTGGAGGAAACTGCCTAGAGGTATGTGTATATTAGAAGAAATGTGCAAACAAATGCATATGAATTTTCTCTTTTTTAAAAAATGCTACCTGACACAGAAAGGTGTGGACTGAATTTTAGATTGGAAAAATGAAAAGCAGAAAAACCGAAATTGACATAGTCCTCCATCCCTAGTTGAGGTGATTAATGGTTGCATCCATGTTAGTTCTACTCAAAGTAGACCCATTGAAATTAATGGACACAACTAACAAAATAAATTAAAAAATTGTCCAGTAGCACCTTAGAGACCAACTAAGTTTGTTCTGGGTATAAGCTTTCGTGTGCATGCACACTTCTTCAGATACGAAAACATATACCCAGAACAAACTTAGTTGGTCTCTAAGGTGGTACTGGACAATTTTTAAAAAATGTTTTTACTACGTCAGACCAACACGGCTACCTACCCAAATCTACAACTAACCAAAGTTCGTTAATTTCAGTGGGTCTATTTTTAGTACAATTCAGCCTTCATCCGCACTATACATTTAAAGCAGTATCATATCAGTTTAAAGAGCCATCACTTCCCCTAAGAGAATAATAGGAGCTGTAGTTTGTCAAGGGTGCTGAGTGTGGTTAAAGGTAAAGGGACCCCTGACCATTAGGTCCAGTTGTGACCGACTCTGGGGTTGTGGTGCTCATCTCGCTTTATTGCCCAAGGGAGCCGGCGTACAGCTTCCGGGTCATGTGGCCAGCATGACTAAGCCGCTTCTGGTGAACCAGAGCAGTGCACAGAAACGCCGTTTACCTTCTCGCCGGAGCAGTAACTATTTACCTACTTGCACTTTGATGTGCTTTCGAACTGCTAGGTTGGCAGGAGCAGGGACCGAGCAATGGGAGCTCGCAGGGATTCGAACCGCCGACCTTCTGATCGGCAAGTCCTAGGCTCTGTGGTTTAACCCACAGCACCACCCACGTCCCTGAGTGTGGTTAGGTGATGCCTATTTCCCTCACAGAGCTACAGTTCCTAGAGTTCCTTAGGAAGAGGGACTGGTGGTTAAATCAACCTAGGAATGGTACCTGTCTGAGGGAATGGGGGTCTCCTCACAACTCTAAGTGCTCACAAGAAGGTGGAAGATGCCAAAAAGAGGTGGAGCCTGCCTGATAAGAGATGGGATGGAGTTCCAAAAGGTAGGTATTGCATAGAATTGCTCTTCTCCTTGCTTTCCAATAATACCACTCCTGCCTACACCAACAAAGCAATTCTGGAACATGGGGCTGGAGAGGGGGAGAGAGAGGATGCATTTCATCATTACAGAAGCTTCTGAGACGCTAAACCCTAGCACCAGTTTTCAGGTGTCAGCCTTGTAAAAACCCTTATGGGTACCCATCTAAATTGTCTGTTTGCTGACACAACGGATTTTGTGATTGGACCGCAAAAGCAAAATAAGATGAGATGCAAGATTTTGAGCATATATATACTCCATACCCACAGGAAAAGGTTTGGGAAGGAAGATTCACTTGACAACACAGGTGATGGCTCAGGAGGCAAGCACCATCCAGATTGCTCTTCCCTGCTTGACGTTTGCATCTCAGCTAGTTGTCAGCTCTGGCAATTAAAGGGAAAACATTGCCTGACTTCTAAATTGATGCCGTTTGACCTACACGCTGCAGAGAAGGAATAAATGTGTAACTCGGCAAACACATCCGCTTGGCCGTGTTCCAAGCGATAACCCTCCTTTCTTTGCATCCATTTCAACATGTGACGTTGGGAAGAGATGTCATCATGGCATTTATTCTGCATTTCGTCTGTAAGAATTGAAGGGCAGTGCACCATGGAATCTAGAGGGGCGGCAGGTCTCTACCGGGCTGAAGGTCTTCAAGCCAGGGCTAGACAGCCATTTGTTAGTGATGCTCTAGCCCTGGGTGCCTGTGTCAAGCAGTGAGTTGAACTTGCCCCCCTCCAACTCTATGATTCTGATCCAGAAAATTCCCCACCGACTTTCAAAATCAGCTTTTCAGGGGACACAGTGATTGTATTAAGGGGAAAGGACAAGAAAGACCTGCCCCTTGTGTGACCATCATAATCCTTGCCTAAGTTAGGACCCAAACCCATACATTAACTGGTCTTCAACTGGTCATTTGGGAGCCACCAAACATGGGTCACAACTAGGGTAGCTTGGTCAGGAGCATCACACGCCCTGAGATTTCAGAGCCTAAACCTGAGACCTAGGGATGTCCCTGGTGTTGTCATGGGTCTATGCAATAATTTGCAAGGACAGGTTATCTGGTAGAGGGAGGAGAGGGGGGCATACCCTGCAGAGACTCTATGCAATAACTTGCAGCCAGCTCCCACTGGGCTGAAGCTTGCAAGCAGCACAGTCTTCTTAATTTTTCAAAAAATGAAATAAGGTGTTCTCACTCACCTGGCCATTCAAGCGCTTACCTTGCCACCTGGCAGCGGGGAGCAAGCAAGCCTCAAGACATCAGGTGAGCTCTGGCAGTATGGCAACCCTAGTTAAGTCAGGAGCACAACCACCCTATAAATATGTTGGGGGGAGGGGTAAGAAATAGGTTTCCAAATGGATCTCTGGGTTAAAAAGGAGGGACCCGAATCTCGAAACCTTGATGAAGGTGACTGGTCTACAAAGACCAGAAGAAGCTCTCCAGGGTTTCAGATGTGCTGAAACCAGCAGCTCAATGGAAATGAGCCTGTAGTAAGAAAAATTGCTGTTTTGTAATGGTTCCTATCTACATCCTCCCCCACACTCTTCTTATGATGGTAATGATTATTCAAAGCCAGGGCGTGTTGCTGCTATGTCTCCACAACTCATGGCCTTGTCATACTAAGTGTTCAGGAGAATCTGGGGAGCTGCAATCAATAATTGTCCTGAAAGCCAGAGTGATATTGATTTGTGCTTTTTAATGAGCTCAACTCCCATAATAGATCTGTTTGACAACTACATAATCTTGGTTTTATTATCTCTTTAAACATCCCACAGCTATTCGGTTAAGTAATAAAATAAAGAGCTTGCACACGGGGCAGGCTAAACTTGCCTCTTGAGTAAATGGCAGAGCGTAATTAAAGTTTAGGCAGGGGATTTGTGTGCCCTGCTCTGGAATTGACTGATGATCAATTGCTTCTTCAGTTCTGTTAAACTGGTTTATTACCCAGAGTAGCAGATTTTGACAAGAGGAGCAAGGAGGGGTGTATTCAGATTAGCCAAAGTATATTTGCTGATGCAGAGTTAACATTTCTCTCTGCTGCACTGTGTTGTCAATGACTTTGCTTTGTTATCTTATAAAACTTAAAACTGCTGGTTCAAAACACAAGCAAAAAAAGTGGGGAGAGCATTAATAGAATAATATACAGTGGTACCTCGGGTTACATACGCTTCAGGTTACACACTCCACTATGCCAGAAATAGTGCTTCAGGTTAAGAACTTTGCTTCAGGATAAGAACAGAAATTGGGATCCGGTGGCACGGCGGCAGCAGGAGGCCCCATTAGCTAAAGTGGTGCTTCAGGTTAAGAACAGTTTCAGGTTAAGAACGGGCCTCCGGAACGAATTAAGTACTTAACCCGAGGTACCACTTTAATCAATTGGGTGTCATGGGCCCTGTGTTGTTTGAAAGCCTAGAGTTTATAGATTTGGGGAGAAGTGGTGATTCTAACAGCCCCCAAACTAGAATACAGTACATACTCCATAAACATAGCTGTCAATGTTTTCCCCTTTTTAAGGGAAATTCCCTTATTCCAAATAGGATTCCTCGCAAGAAAAGGGAAAAGTTGGCAGCTATGTCCATAAATCACAAACCTACTTAATCTGCAGCTCCTGAAACAGAAAGGAAACACAGCTATCCTTTGAAATTCACACTTCTCCCAATGTTGCAATGCAGTTCTCCAGCCAAAAGATAATAATGAATATATCAGGAGAAAAGCAGACTTCCTTAAAAAAATAAAATAAAGCAATGTGATGTGATGTGTGATTGGAATAATAAGGAAAAACTCAGAGAACCGAAACTGAGTGATTTGTCCATTGAGAAATGCAAGAGGGAAGCTACAAGAGTTTTGATAAGACTTATGCAATTTTCTTGAAGGGGCTTAGTACCTCCCTACAAGGAGGAGGTGTGGGATGGGCATTGTCAGTTGGTAGAAGAGAAGAGAAGAGAAGAGTTGAGTTTGAGGAAGGCAAAGCAAATTGAAACCAGAAAGCAGGAAGTGGCGGGGGGGGTGAATTTTGCATATCAGTTCACAGTAATTGGCCAGGTCCTTCACTGTGGGTAGCAGGTAACACAGTGTATCTATGAAATTACACAGCCATTTTTTTTTTTATTGTAGTAGCAGCAGTTCATCCTCCCAGTTTAATCAACCCAGTTATACAAAATCAGCTCTGCTCACATGAGTTGACCATATGGTGCTGAACCCAGCTCGACTTCTAACCTCCAAGAAACCTTGACAGCCACTGTGACCGAGCATTCAAATGCAGAGTGTTAAGTCATTGCTCGTTAGGATCTTTGCCATCATTGCTGAAGTATCCATAATACGAGGTTCTGCTCTTTGTCTAGAGCCAAAAGCTTTAATTGCATCTGCCAAAGCCAAAGTGCTTCACAGATGATCGCTCATTCTTCTGGCTTTATCTCTGTGCATCCAAAGGCATGAGAGAATGGAAAGATAATAGTGATTGTTAAGAATTGCTACATATCACTAAGAACACACACACAAGTATAAGCATTCCAGAAAAATGCTGAAGCTATTGGAATATCTGCTGTGCATTCCAGAAACCCAGAATTTACCACAAATCTTTTGCAAATAGGGTCTGTGCATGAAAAAGTCAACTTATGAAAATTTCACCATTATTACAAAATTGCAATATGCATTTTGCTTTAATTAATTTTAGGCCTTTTTCTATTATTGCTCAGATGCCTCTCTCTCTTACTCTCTCTGAGGTTTACTAGATAAAATAGTGGCAGATGCATTTATCAGCAGCTATAAGCAATTGGAGTTGCAGTTTCCCATTGCTGGTCAAATTCTTCCAAGCCTAGCTCAGGTAAGAACATTGGGGGCTCCTAAATATTTACCTCAGATTGGAGGTGTGCTTTGAAAGCTCCCAAATTCATATCCATTCTCAACTCTTCTTCATCCCTCAAAGTCCCAGCTGGCGCACGCGCGCACACACACACACACACACACTGGAAAAACCCACACCCTTCCCCCTTACCTGGCAGGTGGCAGTGGGGTGTACCCTGGTGTGTACCCTCCATAGCTGGGTTTCTGTAGGCTCTGCTCCTACTTGTCCCTGTACCTTTTATACCTACACGTCCCAAGTGACTGGATGGTCAGAGAACCATGCCATGTCTGCATTCCCACCTGTGCGAGTGTCAAAACAGTCTCCCGACAGCTGTGATGCTGCACAATTT